AGATGTAGATTGTTAGGTGAGATGCGTAACCTATCGATCGGTCATTACGCACAGAAAAAAAAATATGTATAAAATAAAAAGTATTATTGAAATTGAACGTGCTGAGAAAACTTAAACAGGAAGAGTATGCAGTGAAAATTTGGGCAAAAAATAAAATGGTACGTATAGAAAAAAAGTACATATTAATTGGAAATTGCCACGAAAATCGGGCAAAGAAATTTAAAGAAAAGAATGTAGGTGCTGAAGAGGCTTAATGTAAACAAATGCTTTGGAAATAAGACGACGCCAAAATGATTCAAAGATATAGAAAGCAAGAATAAAAAAAGCGTCCAAGTCAAAAGTCTTTTATTTTACTCTTTTACTTTCGTCAGATTGCAGTTTAGATGATAGATCAATAGCTTACGCACCTCACCTGTGATCTGAGGCAAGCGTTAGTCAGAGGCACAATATATATATCATAATGACAATTTTAAAAATATTAAAAATATTTAAAATTCACATACATTATGCAAGAAGGGCGTAAGCTTAAATTCTTCGCTTAAAAACCTTGTCAATACAATTTTTCGAATAAATGAATTGATATACTTTTATTGGACTTGTTAAAAATTAATAATAATAAAAAGAGTTAATAACAATAATGAGTCAATGTTCGTTATCATGCAAACATAGCGCATAAGAATTGTCTTATTTAGAAAGTTAAAGTTACTAATTTTTTAAGAAACCTATTATTTATATAAAGTAAATTTTAAATAATCAAAATATTAGTATTAAGCAAATTATTTCGACAACAGAAATAAACACCACGAAAATTAAACCAAGTTTTGTTTGTTCAGCTAATAACTACAAGTCATTATCGTGGTCAATTTTCTGAATTGTAATGATAAATTGTGTTTAAATATGATTGAACCATCAGATTATCAGCCACATGATCAGATCTAAGCCGAATTTGTTATTCTATATAATATAATTTTTATACAGTACGTAATTGTAATGCGTTGAAGGAGGAATGTCATCCACGTTTATCGCAATGAATATTTTGAAAATTTTGAAAGTTTTGACTTTTTTCGAGTACTTTTTCGTTTATGATACAATCACCAAATAGAAACGAAATTAAAGCTCGATAATTCGTAAAGTTGAAACAGTAATTACTATAATCACTGAGATTAAAAGAAATGAAACTTTTTGAGTCATCTAATCGAATTGGATTCATTGGTAGCGTTTCAATACTGGTATCTTCAATGATAGGACCAGGACTGGTGACAAGTAAATATACACCTCTTCGATCAAATTTATGAGTTTGAATTTACTAAATACTTGGACTGATGTAAAACTTCTTTAATAGTACCTTTATTATTTCGCAGTGCAGGATGGATAACGTGAGTTACTAAGATTTAATTAACGAATAAATAATTTTCTTAATTTTATTTTTTATTAATTTCAATTTTGATGGTGTGATCAAAGACCGCTGGTGATGTTTCTGATATCAATATTAGTAGCACCAACTGGTGCTTTACTATTATGTGAGGCTATTGGTTCTCTACCTGGCAATGAAAGATTCACAGTAAGTACTTTAACACCTTATTTTTCATATTTGTACGTATACATTCAAAAGTTATTTATATTATACGATTTTCATCAGAAAAGAATAGAGTATTCTAAGCTTTGCTCAATATTGATTACAAACCGACTTGGACGAGTGTTAGCACAAATAATAATATATGCAGCGATTGAAACATTCATTATAACATCAATTATTCTTTCAGCGCAATTATTGGACAATTTATTGATCGACTTTTTAAAAATTTCTTGTGGAATTGGCATATATCCTGAATTCGGATGGATTTGTATTAGAAACCTTGGAAATGAAAATGGTCCGTTTGAAAGTCGGTTGATGTTGTTTACTATCGGTTTTGTGGTAATATATGACTTTCTTTTAATTATCATTTATATTATATTTTTTGTTAATACCCTATAATTTTTTTTAGATAACAATATTCATCGCTGCACCAATGACATTGATGGAATTATCAAATAATGTTAAAATTCAGATTGGTGTGTAAAATATAATTTTTTCACCTTACAATTTCACTTCGTAAAATTTTAAAATAATTTATTTAAATTTTCTTGTAGTATCATTTTTTACAATAATATTAGTCGTGATCACATGGATTGTAACAATCGCATTTCACGGCTTGAGCCCAGCGCGAATTCCCATCTTTGGTCAAGACCAGGATCTAATTATAAAGACAGTGATGTTTAATTACGCATTTATCACTACTGTTCCAAGTTTGGTTAATGAAATGGTTTGTTCGCCTTTCTTCTGCTATTTCCTCTGCTATTTCCTCTGCTATTTACTCGCAACATACGCATATTAACTCGAATTTAAATAATATAGAAAAGGGATATTTCGATCCGGAAAGTTGTATGGACTTCAATCTTTATTACAACGCTTTGCTATATTTCATTAGGGATTATTGGGGCCATGTCTATTAAAATGGAATTAACAGCAAATCTAATAATGTCAATCCAAAAATCAGAATTGTATAACACCTTTATTGGGATCATTAATTATTTATTTCCACTTATATTACTTGCCGGCATACCAGTATATGCTATAGTTATACGTTATAATTTCCTTCGATCTGGAACTTGTAAAGATAGTACGTTTATATAGTCAAAGATAATTTTATTAATTCATTTCTTTTTTATAATGTCACTAATTTTTTATAAATTTTTTTTTAGAGAATGTTGCAATTTTTTTTACAATATTACCATGGACCTTAGCAATACCCTTTCAAACCGGTTATTTGTTAAATTTATTTACTAATTGGACAGTATTAGTTTTTATTTGTTCCGCGAATTTTATAATTCCTTTTTGGTTGTACTTCTTAAGTAGAAAGAAATCAAAAATGATACCGTTGGTGACAATCACTCAACCAAAAGAAGATAGTTCAAAAGGTATTACCAATTTAAATGACTTTTAATTTCATAATATTTTTAACTAAAAAAAATTTAATATTATTTTATTAGTTGAAGAAAAAGAACGAAAAGCGCAGATTGCAAAGCACTTAGAAACACATGTCAATGTACCTCCAACTCTCGAGAAAACTCAAGATAAAAATATTGCAGAAAAATTACACAATACAGCAATATACCGAAACATGTCACCAGATGCAGTACCATTAAGCGATATTCCAGAAGATTTTATGATTAATTCAGAATTTATAAATAATGCCAGATTAACGATACCTCCTATTACAACAATGGATCCTGATTTATTTTCTATATTATTGCCTTCACAGCCGTCAACACCACAACATCCTTCAACTCCAAGATCGATTAGTACTGATGATGATGAATTTTATGGTCTATTTCCGGCTCCTAAACCTTTCAAAGCATTTTTTCCTAATCTTGAAGTAGCTAAAAATGTAAATGAAGTAGGTGGTATGGTTGAAAAAGATGATTGGTTTAGCATTTGTATTGCCTGGACTGCTGGGATCGTTAGTTGTATACTTATAGGATTTGCAATCGTTTATAGTTTTGTGGACTTATCATTTGGAATTAAATCTAGGACCTTATTGTAATTCATGCTGCATTAGCAATTGCTGTATCAGTTCTTTAAACATTGTAATTTAGATATAAAGATACTATTTCTACGAAATTAATTGAATATATTTTAGACTATCCTTATAATTTTTTTTTTTTTCGAAAAATTAATAAACTCTAGAAAACATCGAATTAATAACTATATTATGTGACAAAATTCTATAGATTATTAAAAAATTCTTTTATCGAGCTAAAGTTTGATTTTTTATGAGTGATAACCGTCCTGACATTATTGGCCTCTCAAGACAAATTACAATTTATTTATATAATTTGCTATAGTAAATTTAATAAAATACAATTGGATAAAATTTTAGGCCAATGCGAGAAAAAAGGTAAATTACTGAATATGGGGAAAAATGATGCTAATTTTCGAGAAATTGCTAATTTACACCAAGAAATAAATAACAATTGCTCAAAAATATGTATAAATTTAATGCAGTATATATTTATAAATGATTGTAATGGTGTATAACTCTGATAAATTATGCAAAATTCACGGAACCCGTAACATGGGAAAAAGAATCAATTTACCCTGATAGGGCTTTAATTAGGACCTTATCATTATTTGCTACTATAATTTTTATAAAAACTAAATACAAAATTTTAATAAATTTACAGTATCACGAAGGTTAAAGGGCTAGTTATATAATATTACAGAAAGTGTAAATTTTTTTAAAAATTATTGTGAAAATACGTAGTTTTTTAATATGGGAAAAGGTTCGTAATGTCACAATTGAAAGTTTATCATATCCTGTCAACAAATAACAAAGATTATTGAAAGATCAGATGCTGCTTGGTATATCAAAGAAGGATCTTAAAATTACACGATAAAAGAAGATTTGAAAATCTTAATAATTTAACTTACCGCTAATAAAAATTTGCATATTTCTGCGAATCGGCTTTTTTTATCAGTGTTGCAACAAATGGATTCTTATATAAAAAACAAAAAGATTATAAAAATTATGTTAATAGATGTAGTGTCGTATGAGATTTGCACTTTTTATAGAGTTGAGGTTTGTGCACATTGTCACTCTCAAATCCACCTCTTATTCGGATTCAAGGGACTAAGCGTTTGGAGTTTGGAGACTCTAAACTATAGTGATTAGGCGAAGCAATAAGGGACGTTGAAGTTATCAACTATACAAGAGGATTTGAAATAAGGCTTTGAAAGAGGCAACAACTCTATAGTATATGAGGATACTTAAGGTTGTATTATTCTAATTTACTACAAACACAATGTCAAGTTTGTGTTTCCTTGGTTCACGGTATCACGTGACAATAACTCTGGGGCTTTAATTCTGATTGGTCAATCACTAAATATATCGTCACATATTACACCACATATATCATCTGACTTTAAACGA